ACTTTGTGTGCACTATTGTTACCAACATTTATAAATAAATGATTATAGGTATATGAACTTTAATGGTGTATTCCAATAAAATCTGTATGTGAAAACTACAACTAATCAATCCAAAAACATTTGTAATCCATGTTAGCTCCCTAGCTCAGCCTGTATATTTGTCCACTGTTGCTAACATTGCATTATTGGTCATTGTTAGCCATTTCTTTTGTGGAGTTATATAAACGTTTTTACTATAAATGCTAAGAAAAATTGTATTTTACAAAATATACTGGAATTTTTAGAGTAAGGAAGATAAAATGATTACAGAAGACCATTCAACTCATCAAGGTCACTTCACTCAAAAAGTATAAAAAATAAACCAATTGTTATTCAGTAACTTAAGAATAAACTAAAGACAAGTACTGCTTTTAAAAATGTACAATGCTGCTGTAGTGTAAATCAGACTTGCAGTGCAGCGAAACTTAAGGTTACTTCCAACTATACAAAATAATTCAAATTACACAACACATCATTTGGCTAAGAAAAAAAAATTACGTTTAAGAAAACTCATCAAAGTGTTAACAGTTTAAACCTATTACTCTTAATACTCATATTTGTACTTATAACATTTTCATTCAAAACCTAGGCCTTTTATGATTGTTCAAAGCTTTTAAGAATTTTCAACCTTCAAGTCTTTTTTTGGAAAAATTAAAGTAAAAAAAGCATCAAGAGGCTGAGGCCAATAAATCAGGTAGATTTGAAATAATATTCTTCAGAAAATTCAGCAAAATAAGATTAACCAATCAAATTTTACCACATAGCAATATTGTCATCATTCATGATGAAGGACTTGGCATAAAGCCTGTAACAGTGGAAATTGTCTCAGCACCAATTCAAGGCATGAGATGTCTGTAAAACAAAATCCACTAAGCTTGTCTTAGTCAACAATTTTCTATTAGTTGTATATTTGAGGAATTAGCTATCCATACATAGGGTACATTCAGTTACCATAAATTCACCTAAACATTTCTTGGATATGTATATGGATGTGAAAGGCTTAATTCTGTTTGGATTGCATTATGTTTTCTTATTAGCTAGAGTAATTAATCTCACCCAGCTTAACTGTATAACAAATCAGTATGTTAGGAAATATGCCATAGCCAATACTTGAAGTAGTTCACACCAGTGTGCTTACACCAACATTGCCATTTTACTTGTAGTTGCACTGTACATGCTGCAATATTTTAGCATGTTTTTAATTTTCTTGCTCGATATTAATAGCTTTATATCTTTTTACCTATGCCACTTTGTGCCACCACAGCAATTAAACAATTCTTGTCTGAGCAGAAATTTGCAAAATTGAATTACTAATAAAAATAATTAAACAATAACCCACATTTTTCAATTACAGCTGACATATTTCTCCTAAGTAACAACCACCATGGTTTTCAACAGCACTGACATTAACTACTATTTTAACAGAGCTCATCCACTGCATCAATGCAAATTCAAGATAACATTAATATTTTCGGGCTACAGGCTTTAGCCCAAAAATAAGTACTAATTTCTGGTTGTGGTTACATACACAGTGAATATCATTCACTACATTAGTCTACACCCTATGTTACTCAGCAACTTAAAAATTAACTACAAGTATTCGTTACTATCTTAATTAAAAATCAAATGTACAATATTACAGTTGTGTAAGCATACTTGCAGTTGCAGTTCAGTGCTTTCTCAACAAACAGAACACTGTATAGTTACACTTGTAAGTTACAGAATAGCCTAATGCTAATGTTCAACTAAAGTTAACTTTAAGTATTTTAAAAATTAAAACAAAAATCATTTCTTAACAAAAAAAATAATAATGCCTTAATACTAATACTAGTAATAGTTTCTTAGCTAAGGTCTAACGTTGGTTAATCTAATTTATATTACAAAAATATTGCTACATACACTAATGACTTAGGCCTATATACAAAATATTATTAAGTCCTTAATTTGTTTAAAATTGTTACGCTAAAAACAGTTATTAAGTTATATTATAACTAACGAGTTCACATGAGTAATAACTCTGAATCTGATAAAGTTATGCGAGAGAACAGTAACAGGTAACTAAGTTAACATACACCATTACATGAATCTAACTTAAGTTCATTAAATGTTAATGTTAAGTTACAACTTTAATTTAAATTTTAAATCATTTTCGTAGTTCATATAATAAATTTAATTTAAAGAACTTAGAAAAGTCTATCACAGTATGAGTATCAATGAACGAATGATAGCATCAGTATCAATCATCTGTAGCCTATGAGTATGACATAAATCATGGTAATGTCGTTTTACATTTATACAGTGTGAGTTAGTAGCCAACTATATTCTAGTATTAGTAACGTTATTCAGCACAAAGCTGCATTATATTAATTATTATTACCAGCTTCTGCAAACTTTTAACCCTTGGGGTCGGATACAACTTATCTTCTCCCGGTGCCAGAGTCCTATCACTATCAGTATTACCCTCTGTTGCTATCGTTAGTTTACCCCACGTGACAGTAACTCAACAGCAATGCATAGTACAGTATGAATGTCTTTCGATTGATCTGCCGCCCGTTTGCAGTCAAAAATGGTACTTGTGATTGGCTGATTAATTAAATCTTTGTTGTTCGTTTGCTTAAAATGTTTCTTCTATCGTTCTTCTATCAACCCACAATTCCTCAAGTTCGTATATTCGGACTTATTCGTACTGGTTCGGACGTATTCGAAGGCACGTGGTAATCTCTGAAGTTCTCACAGTTCAGCGATGTTTATGCATTGGTTTTTTACTGATAATAATACTGCTTGTAACAAATATCGTATTTTAGATTCTTTGTATTTCCGTAAAATGAATTTGAACTGCAAACACTTCTTCTGTTACAGTAGTACTATAGTAAACTAATGTCACAAGTAAAATCTACTTTTATTATATAGCAACATTTCAAATTTACATTCTGACACTGACACACGACTCTGAACTTTCGCCAGTTTTTGTGAATGAGAGTCATGTTAATTTATTTTAAATAATAGTAATAATTAATAAAAATATGTAACCGTTGTTTTGGTTAAAAATAGAATAAATAATGTTGTGTTATTAATTCGTACCGTAAAAAACCTGACTAGTTAGTAAATAATTCGCATAAAATTGGTGATTATGACAAATAAACGGAATATTCTTTTGATTTTTCTAAGGTAAAAATCCTCAGTAGAAAAGATAACATCAACAGAAGAGAAGAAAAAAAGCCTTGTTAATAAAAAAAACAAGGTATGTATGTTTTATAGCAAAGCCACATCAGGCCATCTTCTGTGTCCCCGAGAGGAATCGAACCCCTAATTTTAACGCTGTAAATCCGTAGGCTTACCACTGTCCCACCGTGGAACAATAAAATAATAAGAGGGAATCATCAATAACAACGGCACTTGAAATTCATTTGGGCAGGATTAAAGTAAATTAATATATGATACCTTGCGCGTGGTCAAATACATCAGTCGAAAGGGTTTGACCTCCTGAGTCCAAGACTGTAAGAAGATCTCAAATCAGTTAAGAGATGACGAAGTTATTACCTAAAAGTTTGTACTTGAAAAAATAACTCAGAGCCATTCTATGAGCCGCTATACCGCCGCTAAAATCCTATTCTTAACAAATACAAAGTTCTTCATTTATATCAGTTTTAATTGCCCCAGTTTCTTGTACATGGCCTTGCAATGCCAGGTGGCTAGGGAGCTCGACTCGCAATCTGAGGGTCGCGGGTTCGAATCCCCGTTCCACCAAACATGCTCGCTCTTATAGCCTTGGGGGCGTTATAATGTGACGGTCAGTTCCACTATTCGTTGGTTAAAGAGTACCAAGAGTTGGCGGTGGGTGGTGATGACTAGCTGCCTTCCCTCTAGTCTATCACTGCTAAATTAGGGACAGTGAGCGCAGATAGTCCTCGTGTAGCTTTGCGCGAAAATAAAAACAAACAAACTCGTGTACATAGAACAAATTTGGGCTCAGTTCTTAATGGTTTATTTCTAAATTTATATGCTTGACAATTCATTGATAAATAGTTTATTAAGTTTGCTGAATCACATGCTTTATATATTATTATTATTATATATTCTCGTGATTCTTTTATTTCAAATTAATTTCTGTTAGCCTCGGTTCTTGTATTTCACTTGATGATGATGCATGTAAGTCTGGTGAAACATTGTGTACAAAATAAAAAAACGTTTTACTCTTACAACCGAGAAAAACCTTGGGTGAAAAGTGACAGTAATTGGTTAAAACAAAAACTGAAGAGAAGAAGCTGCAGCAAAATAGTTACAAGTTAGCAGAAATGGTATCAATAGAAAGATGTAAGAGTGTGATTTATTCAACTACGTTTTGAGCCTAAGCCCTTCATCAACCCCCTCTCCCCATTGTCTCAGCGGCATGTCTACGGAGTTACAAAGCTAAAAACCGAATTTCTATACTCGCGGTGGGCAGAGCACATATAGACCATTGTGTAACTTTGCGCTTAACTACAAACAAACATACCCTTCATCATGTAACTAACTGTTTAAATATCACTTAATGAAGGGCTTAGATTCGAAATATTGTTGACCTTATCACTTTCAATATTAACACCTTTCCAGTGTTATATATTTTTTTTCTACCTAATAGTAATAATTTGGTATCATGAGAATTTCCAGCAAAGCAGTGAAGTCCGGTCCTGCAAACATGGGGTTCGTGGATCTCGTATATGAGTGTGTTTTCCGAGGGTGTGACGGTTGGGCCATAAAGAATGAGACAGGACACGTAGATTTACACAAAGGATCAATATTTAATTTAAATCTTGAAAGTTTACTGAAAAACTAACCATAAAGTGCTATTACACAATAGAGCCAGTGATCCTGATTTTTTTTTCTTTATTAGAAACACAACTTTGTATGACTAGCAGCAGGGGCAAAATGTTTCGGACTGGATCACTTTCAAAAATAGGGCCCCCCTAAAATTTAAAAGAATATGTAACAGATAAACAAAAACATTTTATTATTAAAGTAAGTAAAAAGAACTGCTATATGCCAAAACAACCAAAATAATTATAGAAGGAGCAAAGAGCTTAACTCTTTTGTTGTAGACGCATCTTTGTTGTTCCGTAAGTTGATAACAATGTCTTTTTAGACTGCAACAAGCATCAGTGCCTCCAAGTTTTTTTGTGTTGTTGATGCTCTTAAGCGAGTTTTTAGAATCTTCAATTTGGAACAAAAATATCTCTCACATGAACATTGAGTAACAGTAAGTGTTATGATATATTTGTACGCTTTATACAAGTTTTCATAGGCAGAAGAATACAATCTATAACTGCGTAAAAGTTTAAATGCGCACGAAAAACAGTTTCTACAAAAATGTGGTTGAGGTTAAATTTTATCTGCAATTTAATCCAACACGTCATCTTCTGTCTCTGTGAAATCACTTTCATGCAAGTCTCTTTTCAAGTGTTTATAGTTGGAAGCAAATGACACCAACTTTTCATGCAGTGAAATAGAATCAATTTCTTGAATTGCTTCACATTCGAAGATCAACTTTCTCCGGTTCAGCAATTATTTCTTGAAATCATTTGGGATCCAAACATGAAATTTCCTTGTATAGATCTTTGTGATAATCAAATCTATTTTTCAAACTTTCCAGAACTGCGTCAAAAGCTATATTGTGGCAGGAGATTTCAAAGTTTGTTTTTGGATCTTGGACAATAGCAGAATTTCTAGAAGTTAATATTTTTGGGAAAACCTTTTATATTACAATTTCTTCTTCTTCTTCTATAACTTTTTCATTGAAATTATATTAAAATCGATTAAGGAAACTACCTAGTTAGTTACTCAAGGTCATATTTGGTTTATAAGTAACTAACTTTAAAATATTTAGGTATATTATTAAGTATACCAGGGCGGAAAGATCAACTTCAGGTAATTGGGTTTGTCTCAGCTCACCCAGTTTATATTTGTACAAATCATCAAGAGAAAGGGAGGAGGACGGTGAATTAAGAACTATTAAGGTAAAGGTTTCAGTTCTGTTTAACATCATTTTGTAATTAATAAATAAAATGATGGAGGTTGAGAGTTTTGTAGAAATACATGGAGGTCTATCTTTGCTATGAGTATATTTTTTGCCTTTTTGTACATCTCCAAAAAGGGTGTAGGTTGGAAGTCTTACATTGTAGAAATTTAGGGTATTTTATTTCTGCTTTAATGTTGTATCTAACCATTAAGAGTAATTGCTTTCCCGCAACTGGCTGCAGACCGCAAAAAAGCAGTAGGATTGAGATGTTGTGGGTTCTAGCACTCAACTCCTAGCCCTTAACTAATTTTCACTAGTTGCTGGCTAGTTTGGCACATATATATATATATATATCAGTAGAAACTCACAGGAAACACAACTTCTTCACTGCATGTAGAATAGCTAAACACTTTTTTAGGTGCAGGGGGAAAGTCTAGTGAAGACCAGACACCATTTTCTATACCATATAGAGTCTATATAACTCTCATAAATTGGTTAGATCAAGAAAAGGGAGTGATTCTTTTGTAACATTGGGTGTTTTGCCTCAAAAGCCCACTTGTTAACTCAAAAATCAAGGGTCATAATGCTTTTTCAGCCAATTGTTTTGCAACTGCATGACTATCCTAACATATGATAATTATCAACTATCACTCATTACCCTATAGATATCTCTTATTGTGAAACTCAGCTCAATAACTCGGATAGCAATTTTTGAATAGCCCTTTTGGTTCCATTAATCTCATGATGAACAAACTATCCTAGCATATGATAATTGATCGATACCATCCATATTGATCTAGAGCCCAATAATGGCAGCTCAGCTGACAATTAGAGCTGTCTCTTGCCTCTAGATATGGCACTTTCCCATCTGGATTATCATTAATGGCCAGATAAGTACTTTTAGCTCTTTCCTCCTCATCGAATGAATCAGTGTAGGCTAAGACAATGCTCTTTTCTTTCTCCAACTCATCATTCTCTTCCTTCCATTCCATTGGTAACATACAGACAAAGCTTGTTGATGTGCACTACATGCTTCTACATGCCTATTGACTGCTGTAACTTGTACATAAATTGGAGCATGAAATAAGGCCCTGTTTAGTCAGAGTCTAGCTGTTTACATACCATTGGCACATACCAAAGCCACATCCAGTCTCCATGCTGGTACATACATCATAGCACGTCTTCTGTTGTATATAACAGTCCTTTTCTAGCAGATGACGTGCAAAATTGTGCAGGTCAACTAAAACATACAATAACATATTCTTGTGGATATTGTGAGATATTTACTCGAAGGAGAAGACCATACATCCTATCTACATGGAGCAAGACATCCTGTCCAAACATGAGAATGTTCAGTGAACAGACTATTGATATCTGCATCAGCTATAAACAATATTGATGCATCGACTAATGGACAAGTCTCGACCACTCCATGAAGTAGACAATGGCCACGTGTATATACAAATAATTTGTCCTATCTCTGGGAGGTGACTAACAATATCCAGGGCTATTATCTGTAAAGGAGAACCAACAATTTACTTCTGGAGTTTATACTGTTTATGACAGTTTTTACTCTGGGTGGCACACACACCATACAGTATTGACATCAATGTTGAACATCTCAACTCAAATTTGGCCAGTAGAACTATAATCAAATACTTTGGTG